TTCATTTTCGAAAGCTCCAAATCATCAATCAAGTATCATAACAACTTAGTCAGCTGTTGTTGCAATGCATACATACATACATACCCCTGTGTGCACATACATACCCATGTGTTAGAGGACATTATATACTAAACCAAACTTATATACTTTACATACCCTATAACAAATTCTGAACCTAGAGAAACAATGACAGCAGCAGCATATTATGGTCAGCTGTTGTTGCAATGCATATCTTATGGTCAGCAGCTGTTGCAATGTATACATACATACCCCTGTGTGCACATACATACCCATRTGYCTRYTGTACATCGTAGAATATAAATAGTTTAGAAGTTTAAAAAAGAATATCCATCCAATAGAAGAAAACTTGGTGTCAATTCAACCAGGAAGAAGCAAATTTTGAATTCTTGGAGATGTTGGAACTATTCHAATCCTGTAGTTTCTAGACATGAACTACTAAAGCTGGACCAAAGTGAAGATTGCACCCAAAACAACTTTATTTGCACAGCAGGTGCTTGCAAATGCAATTTGGTTTGATTCGATATTCAAAAATCGAGCCAAATTAGGCTCTACGTTCATATATATTTAAACGTCGTCCAACGATCACTCTGGAAGAACCAAGTGATCTTATTTAACACCTGTAATATGTATTCAAAGTTTCATAAAGATCCGACAACAAAATTTAACCAAACTTAATTTAAACTCATTTTAGTTACTATAATTCACAGCTTAAAATCAACTTTTTATCATTTTTTAGACGCAAATATAACCAACATAGAAGCCTTATTTCTAAAAAGTGTCTAAAGGACAGGTTTAGAGCTACATATAAGCTTTCTAAAATGTCCAGAATCGTAGCAATCCGAGCTACGGTTAAAAAGTTATCGCACATTCAAAACAGCATCTTAGATAGATTCGGTGCTGTCAAATTCACCAATAAATAGGCTAAAATCCGTATTTTGGATTCAATATTTATTCCAACAATCAAAATACCATTTAACCATGTTTATATTATTGTTTATAAGATCAATACTCAAGAAAATAATAAAAAAGGAAGCACACTTACAAGGATAGGAAATTGCAACAATCACTACGAATACATATTGAACAGTGGTGTAACAAAACTTAGAGGTTGTCTACCAAATGCTATTTTAGGTCTTAAAAAAAACTTGTCTTAAAGCACCATTAAGAATCTATATTAAGATCTCAAACGTAACCTAGGTCCCGATTTCTCATAAATCTGCATCGTATTCAAGTGCCAATTCTCGCAAATCCACAACACATGATGCAGGTTCTGTAGAATTTGAAACTTCCAGTAGAATCTCCTAATAAGAACTTCAAATTAGCAAAGCTCCATTGGATAAACCAACAATGTCGAATGAAATCAAAACAACTTATAGTGGTTGATACTTATTCCCTTTGTTTCAAAAACATGGTAAAGTTTGTATTTTGATCCCAACATTTTCAAGTGATTCACTATATTTAAATTTACGTTAGCAACAAAGGCTAAAAATGCAACATGTTAACGTTGAAATCTAAAGAAAGATCACGATTGAATTTTGAATTGTAAGGTTTAACAAACAGAGTTTATATTGCCTTCAGAGTGAAGATAATACTTTTGACCAGGCCAAACAACAATACATCCTCTACTTGTGTTGTAGCCTCTATGGATGTCAGTCATATATTGATTAATAACACCACCCTGCTGCTGAATGCAACTGCTAGAAATTGATCTAAACGAAACTTAGATTGGAGCATTAATTGCATATCCAGTTACACAAGGTTATGTTTTGGACAAGATCAAAATTTTCCATCTAAGCCTATGTTTATATGTTATCAGTAAACTAAAAAACTCCCATTACAATTCTCTTCACTACCTGAAATGAAACAAGTAGACAGGATTCCTAAATAATCGAAACAAATAAATCAGTCATTTAGAAACAACAAGTTGTCATATTAGCAGAACCATGTCATATTAGCATAAAACAACAAACTATTTAAATGGACTATTAAGTAGAAACAGGATATATGCATACAACACCCCTGTGCCTGCTGTAATGCACACAGAGATCTGATCACACACACACACACACACATTTGGCCACAAACATGTTATGTCCCTACTGTTCCATATGGTTGTTCTTATCATTTTCTTGATTTATTTATGGTTGTGTGACCTTGCATCAGTGCATTTCATCTTATACACACATGATAAAACCATGATTAAACCATATACATACACATCTGTTGAACTACTGCTTACAGTGTTACAAAACAAACAATATTAGTGAAGCATGTTAAAAAATTCAATCGTGCCGGAGTCTACACCTCAAACGTCGTCTATCAAGAAGTTTTACGTGATGAATAATGTATAATCACAATTATATTATTATACATTTTGTACCATATGTTTCTATTAAAACCATTGCGCCATTTTTTGCAGGAAATATTTACGGATGAGTGCATCACTAAAAGCAAACAACAATTCGAATATACGGATGAACATTATTTTACGAACGATTGTATTTCTTTGTTCATTCAAGAATTTCAAGTTTTGTAATGAGCTCTGAGTAGATGGTTTCAGAAACCCGACATATGTGCAATTTTTTTTTCATTTGATCTTGCTAACAAACAAAATTGACCTTCAACTTT